GCACTAAGAAAAAACTGTCTGCCCTCCTCTACAAGGAGATATCAGCAGAAAACAGGCTATGGGCAGTCGTGCTGTGCTAGGAATTAGCTTCTTCATAACTGAAAGAGAAGGGAGGGAAGGCATCATACTAAACCTCTACTGAGCCTCGGGTGCCCCAAACTAACAGGCATATTGCATTTTACATGAATGGATTCATTATCACTATCATGACCAAAAAGCAGTTACAAGGCATCCTCTTGTGGCACTAGTACAGAATAAAGAAATAATGGCCCCTACCCTAGAGCAGCTTGCTGAAATCTCTTCTAAGGTCTGCCAGTTCTAAAGCGGTGCTGATCACAAAACAACAACACTGAGCTTGACACAAGAAAACAAAAGAAAACAGGCTACCCAAGTAACTACTATATAACCACCTAAAATAGAATTACAAAATGAATAGGGACACAGAAGAAGGAAGAATATAAATAGTTTCCTGATTAGAGCCAGTGTGGCATGGCTGTAGAGCACTAAGAAACAACTAAAGCTGACAAACCAGTCTGGCATGGACCAAAAGGGAGAGTTGTTCTTTCTCAATTTAGCTTTATACTGGTGGTGCATCTAAGAGGTAGCATCACATCAGCAATAGCTCATAACAAAAAATAATCATGGGATGAACTTGACGTATGCTCAGGATCAGAAAAACCAACAATCTTGCCCATTAGCAGTTTAGCCACAAGTATACATAGATCATATCACATACATATACTTAGTCTAAGCCATTTATACCAAGCTAACAGAAAATAGCAATTCCAAACATTTTGCTAGCACATAACTTTGCAAAAAAAATTAGTGAATAAAAATACCATGCAATTTTACATTTTGGTGCTTGTTTTCAAGCTGCTACCAAAATTTAGAAAATCACTTCCCTTTATAACAAAGGGCTTTCAGAATCTAAGTATCAAATGAAATACTTCTAGCATTTAAAGAGTTTATTAGACACATACAATTACATTCAAAGAAGTTATGAGTGAGCTACAAAATGGAAAATTAGGAACTCACATTGATAAAACCTCAAACACATCTCAGAATAAATTCAAGCTTTTTAGCTTAACATCTATATCTTTATCAATTTTTTAAATGCAGAAGGACCCATTAAACACTTACGTAATAAAATTCAATGTTCTATGCTAAATGAAGAGAATTTTATAGTCCACAGCATGATTATAGTTACATATCACCTTTCTTCCACAATGCTTACATTACTTCACAAGTATAATAATTATTAAGCTATTAATACAAAGCAGAACACTTCTTCAAATTAAGGTACCTTTTGCTGTACGTAGCAAAGACTGCCTTCCTGCACCAAGTAAAGAAGTGACTCTTGAAATACTGGGTGGAATTTCTTTATCCAACATAGGACCGATGCGCTGGCAGATTTGCAACAGATGATCAGGAGCCACATGCTTATTGGACAATACCTAGTTGGAGAGCAAGTTTTAATAACAACACTGTTTACAATAATGTCAAAAAAATTAAATACTTAGGGATAAATCTGAGAAAACATGGCATACACACTGAAAACTATAAAACATGCTAACAAATTTCAAAAGACTTAAAAATAATAGTAAGCTGATCTATAGATTCAAACCCATGCCAATTAAACCTCCAGCAGGAATTTTTGTAGAAATTGATCATTTTATTCTAAAATTTATATGCAAATGACCTAGAAAAGCCAAAGTAGCTTTCAAAAAGAATAAAGTTGCAAGGCTAACAATATCTGATTTCAAGAACTGTTACGAAACTATAGTTCACTTGGTAAGTGGGCTGCAAAAAAATTAAATAAAGCCACTGTAATCAAAACAGCATGGTATTGGTATAAAGACAAAGAAATCAACGAAACAAAGTATCCCTAAGCAGACCTACACATACACAAGACAACTGATTTTTGACAAAAGTGAAAAGGCAGTTTAGTGAAGAAAAGATAATCTGTTCAACAAACGGTTCTAGACTAACTGGATATCCACTTGCCAAATATAAAAAATAAATAAACTTTGATCCATACCTCCCACTATAAATAAAAATTATCTCAAGATGAATCTCACATAACCTGAAACCATAAAACTCCTTAAACACTGGAGAAAATCTTTATAACCTGGGGTTAGGGAAAAATTTCTAGTATGAATCCAAAAGCACAATCCACAAAAGAACTGATAAACTGGACTTCATCAAAACTAAGAACTTCTGTTTTTCAAAAGGCACTGTTAGGAGAATTAAAAGACAGTTTCAGACTGAGAGAAAATATTTGCAAAACATGTATCTGATGAAG